ATATATGTCACTTTGTATACTAATGTTTAAAATATAAGAAAAAAAAAGAGAGAAAAAAGCATCTTGCTTTGAATGAAATCAACTACTAAAAGTACACTTTCGGTTTGCAAGCGCAGCTTTTGTTGTCTTTTTTTTTTCCCCCTCAAATTTGTTATACTAATCCTTCTCGAAATAAAAACGTTTGAGCAAGGACTTTGCTATTGCAATAATTAATTTTAAGCTAAGGATAATTTATGTATAGTATATTGCAACAGGAAAATTTACTATACACAATCGCAATGTTTAAAATATAAATACAATTATATATTTTTCTTCAACCGCATGTTAAACACTCGGAGTGCGTCTAAGGCGGGAAATACATATTGCTAAAAATTAGAAATATAAATCTAGAATGCAAAAGTTACTTTACTGGACATGGAAGAATTTCTCCCGTAGAACCGTATCAAAAAAGATCGGAGCACAGCTTAATTAATTAATAAATAATTAATAAATCTCTTTATTATAATAAATAAATAAATCTCCCATAAAGGTACGTTTTCATCACATACAATGTGAGTCAGGGACTTGGACCGCTCGTGCGTGTGTGTGGGGCCGTTCCTCCGTTGGATGTATGCGAACGCTGAATGTTGACATTCAACATGGCGGCATGTCGTCAGTGCTGTGCTGTGTCGTGGTGAGTCTCGTAAAGCCATTTAATTGCCGTACGATTGCGAGCTTTGTGTAGCAGCGCGTGCCGTTCGGATCCTGGCGCGTTCCTCGCGCCGATCCGGTCGTCGAAATATGAATTCCGCTACGCAGATAGGCCGCGACGAGAGCACGCCGTAGCCCGCGGCGAGATAGGGCGCCTCGCGACCTCGTAAAAAATCTAGAACTCCGGGAAAAATCGCGACTAGCGCACATGATAGCGCACGTCTACTCCGAAATGGAAAGGATTCTCAAAGAGAGATGTGTGGACGGGGATTCGCACGAACTGTCTACGAGGATCATATCTATCGCGTGTATCACTACCGCGCAATCGCACTGCTCTTTCGAATTTCACAAACATTTTGTGTAATCGCGTATACGGTAATGTTAGCCGATAGTAATATATCCGAAATCGGATAGAATAAATGTAAGGGATCCGCGAGAGAGAGAGAGAGAGAGAGAGAGTCGTGATCATGATTTATCCGTCAAATATACCGTGACACATCGTGCAATTTTCAGCAATCATATGGGGAACATCTAATGATAAAACCACGTTTCGCAGTACATCGAGTCAATGTCAAACTACCAAACGATTAGGAAGAAACGCGTTTGTTCTGCTGCAGAGAACTATAAAGAAATGTATAATTATTTTGCTTCCGTTTATTTCTTAGATAATTTGGAAAGTCCTTTATGCAGAGATAAAGTCTCTTTATATATGTATAGTAAATATATATATATTCAATAATCTGCATTCAAAATTTGTTCATTGAATTTTCGTGCATATTTTCAGTAACTTTCCATTAATTTTTGTTAATGAAATTGTTATATTATTGCTATATTAGAAAATGGAAAGTTCATAGATATTATTTTTTTTTTAATTAACATTTTTCATAGCATGTATTGTGCAGTGTATAGCAATGATATTGTTTATAAAATTTATTTCCACATTTTATGTATCAAATTTAATTAGAATTTAGAAATTTTTATAAACTCTTTATTCTGTATAGAATTAATTATATTACAAGATGTTACACAGATTAATGCTGTAAATATTTTGTATAATTTAATACTTTGATATAGAGAGCTCGCAATCTTCGAATGAAAAATACTATACTTTAATATATTTTTTTGACTTTCATAATGTTTCTTTCATATTGTTTCTTCTCTTTTTCTTGCAGCTTGTGTCATTGTTAGTTTAGGACACTTCTGAAACTAAGGCTCACTGTAAATTTCACATTTAAAAGCTGAAGAAGGAAACGCTATTATAGAAATATTGGAAGAGAACACAACCAGACTCAGCACGCATTGAAGACATCTGAGGATTTTCAAGTCAACATTTATTCTTTAAATCTCCTATGTTTTTGATTTACTTCTTTTATAAAGAATGACTGACGTTTAAAAGAAACACAGTTGTTCTAGTGCACGCTAAATTGAGTATTTATCAAACAGTTGTTATAATATTCAAACATATACATATGGAAAGTATTGACAGTATATGGTGTGCTAAGGTTTTGTACTTGTATTAAGTCATAAATCAACATTAACTGCATCGTTCATTTGTATATTGTATACACAACAAGCTTTGTGAGCAAGAAATAGGTGAGCTAATATAGTGACCGTGATTGCGATTGCGGCTGAGATTGTGCTGCTCTGCTTGATAGAACATCTTTATCTGCGTTTATAAAGAGTGCCAAGTTTGTGTCGAGCTACTGCGGTACTCTCCATTAAATAATTGATGATATATGTGTTAAAATACTTTGAAGAGACCTCACTTTCACTTCCTGGTCACAAAGGAGTCTGCATTTCTGCAGCATTTTAAAGAGCCACTCTTCCTCTTCATTAAGTTCTTGTAACATTATAGTGAACAAAGATATAAGGTACCAAGAACCGTTCTGTGATATCTATGTTAACACTTAAATAATTGAAAAAAGACTAAAAATTTCTAAATATAAGTGTATATATACATATATATACACTTATATATATTGTGGTAACAGAAGTGTAAACATAAAGGGAATTACGTAATTGTTTCAAGAGAAGAAGAGCTAAATTATACGTAAATATTATATACTCTGTATTATAAATATAATACACTGCGCAAATTGAGAAGACAATGTCCAACAATCCTCAGTGGAAAACGTTCCAGCCGCCAATCATGAACTCTGACCCAGCAATACTTGACTACAAGTCTATGGCTATACCAAGTCCTAAAGCCATAACAGGATCTCATCAACCAACAACTAACAATTATCGTAATGGTACCAACTACAGTGGTGATCACTATATGGGTTCACCTCCTGAATGTGGCAAAAATTCTACTACTAACTATGGTAGTTATCCTGGCACACAATCGTCACCGCGCAATGGCGCTACAAGATTTCCATTTGAATTTACGGGCATGGAAACAAATGCCGGTTACACTAGTGAACCTGCTACCAATAATTCTACCTATCAGGATCAATCTGCGAATCAAGGAACACGGGAAACTGGCATAATTGAGAAATTATTAGTGAGTCTTATGAATGATATTGAACTCGATTATTTTTATAAGATATATGACTAATTTTCATACGATTGAAACTTTTATCCACAGCATTCTTATGGATTCATACAATGCTGCGAAAGACAGGCAAGATTGTTTTTTCATTTTAGCCAATTTAGTGGTAACATTGAACATTTGAAGATTGGAGATCCTGTGGAATTTGAAATGACTTATGATCGGCGAACAGGCAAGCCTATTGCAAGCACCGTTAGCAAAATTGCTCCAGTGGTTAGTATAATAATAGCAAATAATAATATCATTAATAATAATAATAGCACATAAAAACATGAGAAAAATTGATGAGAAATATATAAATAAATGTATGTGTAAGAAAACATAATTTATTTAAGGCACTGGGTGATCAACGATGCATTGGTAATGTAACAACGGAATTACAAGCAAGTGGTGATTCACAAGGACGTATCAGTTACGAAAATCGCGGAGAATGTTTTTTTCTGCCATATACCAAAGACGATGTCGAAGGAAACGTTACTTTGCGTGCTGGTGATAAAGTTTCATTTCAGATTGCTACTAATCAACGGTATGATATATATTAATTTTTAGCTAATAAAATGTACGAAATATTGTGTAAGCAATTTTTCATATGTGTTAAAATAAATTATAGAGGAAACTTGGGTGCGTGTAACGTAAGATTGGAAAATCCGGCGCATCCGGTTCGATACCGTGGAGTAGTGTGTTCGATGAAAGAAAATTTTGGTTTTATCGAACGTGCTGATGTAGTCAAAGAAATATTCTTCCACTTTAGTGAAGCTAAGTCTATGAAAGAAGAACTTAGGCTAGGAGATGATGTGGAATTTATAATACAGACACGCAATGTAAGTGAGATAGAAACTGTCAAAACGGTTTTTCGAAAAAAAGATCTACAGGCGCATAACAAATCTAGTATTTTGCTCTTGCAGGGAAAGGAGGTGGCTTGCAACATTACAAAGTTACCACCTGGTTCAATCATATTTGAAGAAGTCAGTAATGAAGTGGTAAAAGGACAAGTGTTGAAGCCTTTGGAGAGAGGTACTGCTGCTCGTCATCAAAATGATCCCTTACCTGGACGTATTCGATACAGAGACAGCAATCATTCTGAAGTGGAAGTACCATTTGGTGATAAAGATCAAAAAGGAGACTTTACTCTTAGGTAATAAATATGAACTATTAAATGTGAACTTTTTTCTTTCTTATTTCATTTTTGTATATGTAAACACATTCATTTCTTTATATATAATAACACATTTTTCTACATAGCTATAATATATCCATATATTAATGTAACTTAATTTTTTTAATAGACATGGCGATTGGGTTCAATTTCGTATTGCGACAGACACTAGAGATCAACTTAAAAGAGCTACAGAGATAATGTTATTACCAGAATCTTTCACTGTGTCAGGAGAAAGACGAGAGCAAGGTGTTATACAATCTCTCAAAGATGGATTTGGCTTTATTCGTTGTGTAGAAAGAGAACCCAGACTTTTCTTTCACTTTAACGAAGTTCTTGATGTTGATAGAGAAATTAGTGTAGGGGATGAGGTGGAATTTACAGTCATACAAGTGAGTATATTATGACAATAATACTTAGTACAAAAAAAAAATTTTCTTGTTACAATTTATTTTTATTTATCTTTATCTTACTCATAATAATTATCTTTTTCTTTTCTTAAGGATCCTTCGTCATCATTCTCTAATACTCGACAAAGTGCTATTAGATTGAAACATTTGACAATGGGTACTGTATTGTTTCAAACAATTATAGAAAAGGATATATTAGGTACTGTAATACAGGACACAAATTCAATGGAACCTGGCCTTATTGGTTATGGCCAGCAGAAGAGCATTATTTTCTTCTCTAAAGATTGCGATCCTAAACATATTCCAAAATTGGGCGATAAGGTAAATTTGTATAAAATTATACTAATTAAATGAAGAGTTTCTTTTTTTGTTCGTTTTTCACTTTGTGATCTTTGTGCTATAATTATTTATCTGATTTGTATAGGTGATGTTCAATATTGTTCAAGTAAAACGAAATAAAGAGCTTGTTGCTGAAGACATATTTTTAGTAAATGCTGCTGGTGAAAAAATTCAAAATGTTAACAAAAAATCAAATGGACAAGTTTGTCAAGGTTTTATAGCTGCTCTTAAGGATGGATTTGGCTTTATTGAGACAGTAAATCACGACAGAGAAATATTTTTTCACTACAGGTAAGAGTTATACCTATGTGTACTTCAATTTTTATAACAAACGATGCATATATAAAACGATATTCAATTCGACTTTTATTTGCAGTAACTTTGAAGGAGATGCTAATACGTTGGAATTAGGAGCTGATATCGAATGTACAATTAGTAGTTCGAGTAATGGAAGAGGATCTGGAGGTTGTGTAGCTGCTGATCATGTTAAATTGGTACCACGCGGAAGTATTCCGAGGCCTACGGCAGTCAGCGAGGTCCTAGATGGTACTGTGGTGCGACCATTACGAAGTGCGAATCCCGAGCAGACTGAGTACGCTGGTTTGATCAAAATTAATCCAACTAACGAGGACGAGGAAACGCCAGAATACGAATTCGGAATCATGGGACTTTCTAACAAGCGGGAGCTATTACAGGCTGGTGATCCTGTGCAATTGCAGGTTGATTCAGAAGGTCATGCTTGCAATATTGTAGCTGTCAGAAAAAAAAGAAGAGCTACAGTGGACGCGGTTAAAGGTCCATTCGGTTTTCTCGCCTACGAAGTCGATGAGGGTAAAAAGTTATTCTTCCATATAAGCGAAGTTCGAGACCACGCTACGTTGCAACCGGGTGATCAGGTGGAATTCGTTTTGGTTACTAATCAACGCACTGGCAAGTCATCGGCGTGCAATGTGACTCGATTAAGGTAAATCGATGCGAAAAAAATAATTTTTTTTTAAATATTGCAATGTTTCTTTAACACAAACATCACAATGTAATTTTATTTGTGAATCTTTAACAGTGATGCGGTTCAACAACGACCCGAGCGATTAATAAGCCGATTGCGTACCATATCGTTGGAAGACACAGGTCCAAAATTAACTGTGGTCAGACAACCAAGAGGTCCCGATGGCACGCGCGGATTTACCCAGGAAAGATGCCAGCACACTCCTGGTGCCATAGAAGAATAATGCGCTGTGAGACACTTATTGATTATCCAAATTGTAATCTACAATTTGTTTTTAGTTCATACACTTCGATACCAAGATTACTATTGTAAGCATGGTCATAAACGTTTGCCAAATTCAGACTAATGCGACAACAATAATTATAATGATAGTGATCTGGAATTGGATGGTGAACGAGGGCCGGAATAATATAAAAGTAAAAAAAAAAAAAGAAAAAAAAGAACAACGACTCATTTTATCACCTCATAATGGGAGAAAACGAAAGGCAGTTTGTCTTATTCTTGAGATAACATTAGAATTCAATACGTAATTGGTTTATCTCTTTAATTTCCCATATCTTCATAAATTTACTATTAAGCTATACATATTCGATGTTACTTTTCTAAACATAATCGATAGTTTATAGGATTCATTGAAATTTTTGATTAGTATGTTTATTTTCATAGACGTTTGGTCGATATATCAATTCGTTTTGTTACTTGGGGAAATAACAAAGTACGAAAAATGTCCCAGAGTACACTTAAGATGTTGGGCTGACAACCTATTTGTATCCTCTAAGACGATATCTTGTCTCTCTTTATAAAAAGTATATTCTTACACGTTAATACATAATCTTTATTTGTGTAACTTTCTTCAAACTTATTTTACTTATGATATGCTTTATACGCATGGTATACATATGCAATAATTGTAAGCATGGTCATAAACGTTTGCCAAATTCAGACTAATGCGACAACAATAATTATAATGATAGTGATCTGGAATTGGATGGTGAACGAGGGCCGGAATAATATAAAAGTAAAAAAAAAAAAAAGAAAAAAAAGAACAACGACTCATTTTATCACCTCATAATGGGAGAAAACGAAAGGCAGTTTGTCTTATTCTTGAGATAACATTAGAATTCAATACGTAATTGGTTTATCTCTTTAATTTCCCATATCTTCATAAATTTACTATTAAGCTATACATATTCGATGTTACTTTTCTAAACATAATCGATAGTTTATAGGATTCATTGAAATTTTTGATTAGTATGTTTATTTTCATAGACGTTTGGTCGATATATCAATTCGTTTTGTTACTTGGGGAAATAACAAAGTACGAAAAATGTCCCAGAGTACACTTAAGATGTTGGGCTGACAACCTATTTGTATCCTCTAAGACGATATCTTGTCTCTCTTTATAAAAAGTATATTCTTACACGTTAATACATAATCTTTATTTGTGTAACTTTCTTCAAACTTATTTTACTTATTATATACTTTATACACATGGTATACATATGCAATAAGTAAAAAAAAAAAGAAATATTTGAAAAAAGAAATTATATGCAAATGTAAAGAGTATGTACGAAATTTTAATTGTAAAATTGAAGAAAAACAATCTGCACTATGCAGTTTCATTATTGGAATTGATTGTATAATTTTATCACATCAAGAGCACTGTATGTGCTTTGTTATAATGAATTGTGGAACTGAGTGTCACTCTGTTGAAGTAATATCTATGAATCTGGAGGAAAAAAAAAGTTATGATTGGGGCTAACTGTTTATCTTAGATAATATATATAAATATATATATATATACATATATTATAATGAAAACTTGTATTAATTTTATGCGCGTAATTGTGTGAAGGAGTACGCGATATGTAAATAATAATAATAGTCATTCTTCGTCAGTAAATAATTATCCAGCAAAGTGTCTGTGAAACGATTGGCTTTATTGCCCAAATAATGATGTAGATATTTGCGCTCAGATAGATTTTTAATTTCTCACGCGATTGCTATTTTATGCTACAAGATATATAAGTTGATTTTCCTATAATTATGATATAATATATACTTATATATATCAATATAAAGAGAGCTTACAATGCTCTTACGAACTTCAATAAATCAAAACAGCAATTTTATGCATTTTATAATCATTGCAGATTTAATCAGTGAAAAGAGAACATAGGTGAATCAGCTTATACACGTGAGAATAATAAGTTAATATTATTATATATACATATAATTTTACAATTATATTAATATATATTTATATATATTTAACATATATATTGTTATAAGTTCCTCTAATCTCTCAGTCTCGTGTTGTAAAATCAAATTAGTATTACGAATTCTGTGGTCATACAACAACGGAAGTTACAAAAAAATACCTATGTAAAGAATAAAAAGTCACATTTTATAAGTTTTGCCACCTCTAAAATGGTAAGATACATGTGGCATTATTGTAGAAAGATATGTGAAAGAAATAACGTAAAATATAAGGTAAAGTACATAACACAAGCACGATACAAACTAAGCGCTTGTTCCGAAACCCGTGGATCCAACACATCATGTGCATACATATTGTAAAATTATTGATGAATAAACAGTGGAAGTATCGAAGCAAAATATATCTATACTTTGTATATATAAGATCTTAAAATTTTTTTAAAACCGCAAAGTTGTATTTTATGGCATAATATTTTAATATTTTACTCACTTTAATATTCTATTCTGCTATCGCGTGTATTATATTTTTAACGTTTTAAAACTGCGCGATTACAAGAAGTTTGAAGTATCAAGAATATCCTGGCGGTATGTGGTATCATACAAAACGGTAAATAAAACGGCGTATAGTCTGTTTTAATATTTATTATGTATGTACAAAGATGTGTAAATATGTCTTATGAGATGCATTTTTTTTTTTTTTTTTTTTTTTTTTAAAAAAAAAAAAAAAAAAAAAAAAAAAATATGTGTGTGTCATATTAAGACGAATTTGGATCAGGATGAAAGAATAAGAAGAAAAACTTTCGAATTAAATTATAACGCATTCGTAAGGGAATTGTCCTTGGAAAAGTAAATTGTCCGCTTGTGGACAACCTGTAACAAATAATTGTTTATATTAATTTTCTCTTTTTCCTGATGTCATAATATCATGTGGAAAAAAAATCAAAAAATGCGAAGGTTTCTCAATATTAAATAATATCTAATTTTTTTCTTTTACCGAAATATCATCCTTCGTTTACTAATCCTATTCAATCACTTTGACGATTTCAATATGCGAGGAGACACAAAATATTCACAGAATCACATAACGTTGAAATTGCGAAAGTTAAATCACTGTCATTGGAATTACTAACGTGTCTCGCAGTAAGTGCCGTAGAATCCAGTTCCTTCGCAGCGGCATTTAAATCCGGGCTCCGATGATATTTGAGAACACGAGCCTTCGTTCAGACAAGGCTTCGATCGAGAACATATGTCGCTACGTCTTCCTGCAAAAAGAAGTTAAATAATACTCACACAAGTGTTGAGACAATGAACTAGAATGTGTGAGTATATATCATATGTACTTCCCTCCTCCCACCCCGATAATTATAAAATTTTTTAACAAGCATATATAAAGTACATCGTCAACATAATTGATTACTGCAGATTTAACAGATATTACCTTTCAGCGCTAGCTTGCAATCGTCATTGTTATTGTATCTGTATTCGGATTTGCAGCCGTAGCCGCAACTGCATTGTGCATTGTAGATACGACATCCGTATCGCATCTGATCCAACTCGCATCCCTCGGACAATAAAACTGCAAAAAGCTTGGCATTAATCGCGCCGCATTGAACAAGCGCTTAATGCTATTTAAACGAAGAGACGTATATATATATAAAGTTAATATTTATACAAGATATATTTTTTAAATCATTCTTTGATGTCCTTTCTATTAGGATTTTTCGACTGAATCGATGTTTCCTCAATAAAAATGGTAAATATATAATTTTTGAATATAATTATATTTAAATGATTAAAAATAAGAAGTTTCTAATCAACGAACCATAACAGAGAAGATAGATGAAAATATAACTTATTCTTCACATAAGCTGACTTTAATTTTAAATCTTGTTATACACACAAAGATAGAGGCAATGCATTATACATTGAAGAGATGCGATATCATAAATTCTTTCGATATTTTCTCTAAGAAAATTACTCAATGAAGCTGCGATAAAGTGGGTGCATTCGGTTGAGATATGTAGAAGAATAACGAGGCTGTGAACAATATCTGTGTGTTACTATGTATGTATAATAACTGTTTTAATGCACACATTGCCAGAATTAATAGACGCGAGTCTATATGCATCTGCGTTCTATATTTATTAATTATCTATATTATTTTTAGGTAAATGTACTACAGATGCAGTAGAAATATCTGCAGTTTATTTACCCCAGAAGAGAGATAGAGAGTGATACGTTAGCAGAGGCAAATGTTTGCGCCGGATGCGGTCGGCTGTACTTCCCACTTGTCTAAATTGATAAGTATTTCACGAGAGAGGATATCGCGTGCGTGGGCTAATCGATTTTTAGATTCCTTCACTTTTGTTATCATGCGTTCATGCGTGACAGTTGTGATTCCTTTATTTCACCCAATATGTGTGTGGGGATATTTAAGCGACACATATACTCTAATTTTGATTAATTTAAGCAAATGCTTCGCGCGCGCGTTTCTTCTCATTTGATTTATTCAAAGGTAATTAATTACGAACGATACGGTTCATTATGGAGTGTGTAATCAGAAAGGGAGGCATATGTGGGATGTTCATCATTGAGAGCACCATTCACTATCATTATGACGGGTTTATCGTCTGATTATTTTAAAGTGAGAATGCATCTCACATATTATTGCTATTTATTCCATGGAAGATAATTTTACTGAGGGAATCTCGTAATACTTTTAAAAACATTATATATACTGTATCAAATTTTAAAAAAATCGGATATGTGTGCGTTTTAAAATTAATATTATCTACAAGAAAAACGGATAAAAATAAAGAAAATTGGTTATATTAACTGTATCTCGAGAAGACAATAATAAGAAAGGAAAGTTGTAATTTATCTAAGTGATAACTGAACAAAAATGTTTAAGCGCGCGAAAACGTTGCCCCGATATATCTCGAATCTAATGAGACAAGTATATCAGTTTTTGTACTACTTTTTTGAGCAAACGATAAAAATATTGCGGTATTTTAAATATGCGCTACTTTGTATAATTTACGTTATAATTTTGAAACAGTATAATCAATTATATATAAATAATCACGCGCTCTATTTGTAATCGCCGGCAATTATACATTAAATCAGTCACTTACCAAATTTTCTGTGAAAATGAACTTAAAATTTTTTTTATTAATCACAACGATAGCCTGCATATGTAACGTATCTTTGTCTATACAAAATTTATAATTCATCGTTTTGATATTATAATACTCCTTACCTATTGTTAAGAGGAACAGAGCAGCCGACAGCGTCAATCTCGGTAGCATGATGTTCCCAGATGAGGGGAGATGAGAGAGACGTCAAGGAATCCCGACACGAATATCGTGGACGGTGATAATCTAGAAGAGCAGAGCTCGAAGGGGAAGATCGTCGACCGCTCGGGCGCCTTCTGGTAGGCTTTCGTCGCGAGTTCGATGTCAAAGGTCACATGCGGCTCTCACACAAAGGGGACACCGGGGTCAGTGCGGTCCTCTCTCCGCACGCGCTTTCTTTCGTCAGCGCAGCGAGGGGCTATGATAAGGCTGCGTTGCAACGGTGGGAAGGGCTCCAGGATGATGTAGCGGCCGAGTCGACCGTACCCGTCGACTCGTGGCAGCTAACTGTCGTGGACCGCTAATAACTAAAATGCGATCGCGCGGATGCTGTCCAACACGCTGAGAAACTATGCGTGGGATGCAACTCGATCACAATGGTGCCTGATAGAGATTTATATACACTAAATCGTACAATATAATATATTCTTTCATTTTTATTCGTGAAACTGATTGATTCTGATATACAGATAAGCGAGAAATTTAATATATGAAATGATAAAATTAAGAAATTGTACAAAAAGAGAAAAATTGAATACCTCTTTAGCTTTTCTGATTATTTTCGTTTTTAAGATGTGTAGATGAGATAATTCAAAATAAATGAAGATGTTTAATAGATAAAGGTTTTAATTTGCCTTGTACATATATAATATTTTCTGGCGCGAGAAGCTATATGTACATATGCATTTGACAATTGCTTAATTCTAAAAATATAGTAACATGTTTTTATTGCAATTTCCATTGAAAATTATATAGAATCTTTTCTATAAATCTTAGAGAATTTATTTTTCATTCGACATTGAAATTGCCACGGTTTTACAACATGAAACAAAGACATTATTTTCACTGTGAAGACAAAAAACTGCATCTTCATCGAATCTTTTTGGATTCAAGATGAAGAATAATTCTGACGTCATAGAAATAATTATTATGTATAAATAATTAAGAGAATAAAAGAGAATTATTTAGTTACACATTTTCTCACATCATGTATTCACTGAATGTTTGTTATATATTAATTTATTTTATTAAGCAAAACATCATATGTAAAATTATTATACTTTTTCGCTATTTGAGAAAATTAAAGCTAAAAGTAACTTATCATTTATAAAATCACTTCTATTTTCAAGTCTTGTATGTAAAATTCTTTTTTACGATGATTAACTCTATCGAGCGAAATTCAAACTAACGGATTTGACGACATATCGTCGTAACATGCTATCGCCTTTTAGAATTCGATAACATTTGACACTGGCGGCTTTAAGTCCGGAAATCGATCATATGTGTCATAGAGATGAATTTGTAAAATTTGCTGTAGTCTCGACAAAGTAAAATTTAATAAAAATTTTCACGAGATCAAGATCGATATGTCAATAGTGTATCATGCGCACTGCAGAGATAAAAATACGCAACTTAAGATTATAATATCAAGAATATAGACACCCACATGGGCGTGTATATATGTTTATTAATAATATATATTTTAAAATAATAATTTATTATAAAATACAGAAAGATTTCGTTTTTTGGATAGATTATAAAGAACTCAAGATATGTCGTTCACTTATTATAATTATATTTAGATATATGTAATATAATCGCGCGCGTATATATATCATTAGTAAATATCTTGCAACCATTATAAAATATCAAATAAGGAAAATAATAAAGTTATTTTAACATAATGTATCAAATATTCTTTATATTTTTAGATTCCATGGCATATTGTAAAATCTAGAGCATCTAAAACATGACATTTTGTTTATTTTCAGAACATTCCAGCTGTAAGATGTCTGATATATTAATTGGCATTGTTGAGACAATAATTGAACTACTTATGATACCTAGAAAACAAAAGTATCTGGAACATCAAGTGGACCGCATTAGTTTTGTAAGTCTTTTTACTTTTATTCTATTTAAAGCTTAATTCAGAGCCTATTATTTGTGTGGTGCATTTTCCAATCCAAAGCCTGAAATACTTATATTCTGAAAAGGATATTTATAATAAAATTACAATATAATTTTATTCTGCTCAATAACTATTAATCTAAATACTATTAGTACCTTACATGAACGTTTGATCATGTTGTTCATGAATCATTGTTGCTCTTCGAGATTGAATCAGTCCAGATTGTCTATTATACAATTCTCTAACAAGACTATCTTTTTCTTGTTCAAGTAATGCTATTCGTTGGCTTTTTTTACTAACTTCCTGTTTTGTGTTACATAGAAATAGTCTAGATTAGATTAATTGTTTGGATGGATTTTCTATAGTGAATTCTAGAATCATTGTTATACATTACCTCGGTTAATCTATGATTTTGTTGTTTAAGCCGTGATAACATATCCTGTTGAAGTTGGGCTGAACTCGGAGTACTCAAGAAAGCGAGATTCATATGTAAAGGAAGCCCTCCACGTTCCCAGGTACTTATCAAGGCAGCTAAATGCCGATTTACTTCTAGCACTCGCGCACGTTGTAGTTCTAAACGCTCCTGCTGTGCCTCTGTCCATTGTTCCTGTAGAAAATAAAGTTGTATGTATATATATTACATAGTTTTATAGAATATAAGAGAATAAAAAGTATATATTTTTATACCACATGAGAGCCCATTCGTCCGAGATGTTTGATTTTCTCTTGCGTAGCAGAAATTTGTTTCAAGTACCATTCTCTAGCTTTGTCAACAGCAGTTAGACCTTGAAGTAATACATCTTTTTCTTGTTCCATCTGCTTCATTCTTTTCATCTAGAAATATAATATATTATGTAAATATATCCTTTTAAAATATAAAAAATACAAAGGGGGTTCCCAACTATATATAAGAATTATGTTAAATTCGAAATAATACAATTATTACAAATACATATTTTATATTTATAAGAGTTATGTGTATTAAGGTTAATATTTAATCGGGCATACCCAGAACCAATCACCAAGTGTTAGTTGAGAGTCCTAGAGGAGAACATCTTTACCATATTATAATCAATACCATTCTGCAACGTGTGCCGCCTAGGCTCTCTGCGACGACCCGACGGTTTCTTAGATTGAAGACCAAGTTGATTAGTCTGTATATCAATCGCTTTACCATCACCCAGAACTCTGGCAGGTCTCAACAATGTCCTAGCATCCGGTCTATAATTTACAGCCAGCAACTGACGTTTTTCCTTCTCGTCGTTCATCATGAGACCCATTTGCCAATTCTGCAGAGCAGTCCTAATCTCAGACTTGTCAAAGTTACGCTCTGAACCCATCATTCTACCTTCTAATGCAGCACCTGTCCTTGGTGGCTTTGGTGGGCCATACGTTTTATTGATCTTTGATTCCCCAATATTTCTTCCATCCATTATTTCTAATTGCGCATTCATATCTTTGCGATTGGCCAGTAATTGCGGCATGCTAAGAGTACGTTGCTGAGATATAGCATTGTTAGGTCTTATTGTAGCAGTGTTGGGAGAGGTCCATGCCGCTTTGTTCTGGCTGTCAGGGATGAGAATTGGTGCGGATGGGGGCCTATTAGGCTGACCGTTATGTTTCTTAGAATCGGACTCTGTCTGTATTTGCAGCAGACAGATCTTCAAGCCCGCGCAGAATCTTTCGAACGACAACATACCGCTCGGCGGTGTAACCTTTTTCAAGCTATCGAGGATATCTTTGGGCAGGCCCTGCGTGCCGTCGTCCTGCCATCGACCCTCAATGTCAGCGAACTTGACAAAACCGGTGTTTTGATCATCCATTATATCGAACAACGTGCGCATCGCGTTGACGAAATGCTTCGGCAATCCGTCCACAGTCGACGCCTGTATTTGTGCCATATTTACTTATGCACGCCAGGATTTAATTTCGAAATCATGCGTCACCTTCTAAGTAACGACAGAAGCATCATTAACGGTATTCAGAAGTTGCGATTAGTTCGTTGCCGTCCGTGAACGGGATCAGATGTTTAATCGCCTTTATTTGAATCCTATTTTTGAGTCTTCTTAAGAGGACCCTGAAAACCATCTCTTATTTTTTTTTTCGCTCATTCTTTTTTCCATTCACCTGTTGATAGCCGGCTAGAATAGACTCACCTTTTTTCGGGTCGGCATAGGCCAATTAAATAGAAGAAGTTGTAATTATGTATTTAGCTGTTCGATTATTTCTCGCAGACATTCCACCATCCTTTTTTTCCCGCATATATTTATCACACATTTATTGATAAATTGTCATTGGTTCCTTTAATTGTTTAAATCCAGCAAACAAAACTCTGTTTCACTCTAAATTTATGATCGCATAAAAATTTGTTTTTCCTTGCAGATTAATTTCTCGCACAGCTATATGCAATCATATCAGATGTGGATGGTTCGTACACAGGTACAGAGACAGACATCTATAGTCTATATTAGGCTGCGCTCGGAAACACTACTCGGTAGAGTTGGATGAATCATGATGAGGAAAGGGTGCAATTCGATGCGAATAGTTTCCGAACAGAGTTCAAAATTTGGGCCTATTCAGACGGATTTGCACAATCGTATAAATATATGCATTGCGGACTGCGAATCGTCAATCATCCAATCAGATCCTTGGCTACTTCGCTCTGATTGGATGGTTGACGATTTGCAGTCTGTATTCCAAATCCGATTCGAGTCCGCAATGCGTAGTGTGACACGGGCTTAACGCTTGCCGCGCAGCAAGAAGCGACGCGGTAACCAATCAGTCTTTCGTTCTTATGGAAAATATGTAAGTTGATTGGCTGCCTTTTTCCGCGCGGCAAGCCTTGTTCTGTGTGCGGGAACCATGAGCCACGACGGATGCTAGAGTATCTATATCCAATATAGAAATCAGTAGGACCTTTCCGTTTATACCCCGTTTGGGGATTAATTTTTCCCCAATAATAATAAAATAAGACTTTTTATATAAATTTATCAAAAATATTGCTTTAATTATTTTAACTAATGGTTGAGATTGGATAAAATTGATCTAAGATCTAAAAGTAAAAAATCTACTTGGGGTCTGTCAGACACATATTCATACTTACATGCATACATACATACATATATATACACACGCAAAGTTAAAGAGATTAAATTTATTATAACTTTGCATTTATTTTTAATTTAATTACGATACATTAATGGCATTCTACATATATAACATTTTGCCTGTACATTTAACAGAAACGGGGTCAAAGTCGAAAATACATGCTGTATTATGCTGATGAATCAAAATTTTTCGGCTCTCAATTCCATTAATTTTTGCATTTATACTTATATATGATCTCCCTCGGTTCCTTATCGAAAGGAAAAATTCTTGTTTAATATCATTATTCATTATGTTTCATTTCACATATTGTTTACATATTGTTAAAATTTAATCTGATCGATTGTTTACTCTAAAGTGTATACCCTAAAGTTAGATAGGTGAACTGATAATTCCTTCTCATTCATTCTATTTTATGCAGCCTCTTTTAATCTTGCATATCGATTAACTTCTCAAAAAATTAATTTTTTGTGAGATAGCAGAGTTATATCTCATCTGCTTTCGCGAGAGAAATAAATTATTTCTGAAGATATTTTCGTTGATTTCCTCAAACATTTTTAAAAATTTAAGAAGCATGCAATCAGTAATGATATCAATCTCTTAATCTCCCATAGCGACTACATCTTTATCATCGCAATGCAACTGCTGGTCTTCTTGGGGATGAGACTCTTCGACATTAGGACTATCATCGCTCTCCGAGGGCGAACTATCCTGCGGAATATCGATGCCGTGAGTCAACAGGCTGGTTATCCTCTCGACATCAACGGTATCGTCCTGTTCATGGATTTTTTTCAGGGCGTTTGACACTATGCAAAGATCACCTCGCAGCTCGCTAACCACAGCCGTGATCTTCTGGGCATCTGTCAACACCTCCACTGACTGGGTATACGGATTGTAGCGTACCCCAAATGGTCGTTCAATCTGATTAGCAAACGCTCTGGAAGTAATATAAATAATAATATGATTACATTTGCTCTTATTTGATTTCGAAGAAAAAAAAGGATTACATTCGAACAAAAAGATCGGCGAGATACATATAATAATATCGCAAGGAAAGACATTTACCGCATTTTCTCTTTTGCTTCCTCTATGCTGTCCGTATAATAATACGCATTCTGAAACGCAGTGATGATGCATTACTGCTTGCACGTGACGTCCGGTTCAAATCTCATGGTTTTCTCGGGTGCGGATACCGCGTGTCTCAATTCCGCCACCGACGAAAGCAGACCGGCTCCGTAAACACGAAACATACCATCCTGTTTGCACAATCCAAACTCCACGGTGAAGAAGTATAGCTGGAAAGATAGAGGTCATGCAAATAACGGAAGATGAAATATCTTCATATTCAAAGACTCTTACAGTTGCCAATTTATCTATGTCTTCATCCGATGCACCGAGAGAAGCCAGACCAAGTTCTTGAGAAAATTGCGCAAAACTGGGATTGGCAAGTAGCGGCATATGGCCCAGCAGTTCATGACAACAATCTCTGTAAATTACAGAGTATTGTTAATTACTTGATATCGATTATTTGATACTCGATATCGATTACTTGATACTCGATATCGGAAATTATAACTAGGAAGGTCTAAATTTATTATAAATACTTATTTTGCATATTATTTTTATATATTACTTGCACTTTTATTAAAAAAAAAGACGTGTCATGTACTCACGGTTCCGGCGTGTAAAATGGATCGGAAG